TTCTGAGGAGTAGCTGGTGGATTTGAACTGCTAACTGTTGTAGTCCAATGCTTATTCTCCAATGCCACACCAGGAATCCTTATAATGTACATTAGTGGAGGATAAGTTTTCTAAATGCTACCAATTTATGATATCTTAAAATATATATATTTGCTCCTATAATATAAACCTGGAGTCCTGTGTTTGGACGGACTGCAAGGTTGGTTTGTACCACAGGATTGGCAGTTCAAACTTACAAATCCCTCTATGACACGGTCTCTGCCACCACCTCTGCTTTTCTAGTTAGGATCTCATACTCTACTCATGCTCTTCCTATTTGATGGTCCTGGGATCATCTGTTCCTGAAATGAAAGATTAAATAACGCCTCCTTTTTAGTTACACATCTTCTAAAATTTCACTTTTGACCATTGCAATCTTGCTAACAATTACTCACAGTTGAAATCATAAAATCCTATCAGTATCATCTCTCACCCCCTCTTTCACTAGACCCATCTGGAACAGAGGGAAACTATTCAGTGGGGATTCTGCCTTATCCCCCTCATTCTGAAACTTAGTACACTCATGAAAACTGGGTAGCCAGCCAGTTCATGCCTTTATTGTCCCCCGAGTTTTGGTAGCCAATGTCATCCCTATCTGTTTCTCATCCTTACCAACCCAGTACACTGAGGAGACAGGCATGTTCCTTGATAGAAAGAATCTTCCATGCCATTTGGAATTTTGAGCAACTACATCTGGTAGCGTAGTGGTTACGAATCGGGCTGCGAACCGTAAGGTCAGCAGTTCGAAACTACCAGCGGTTCCGTGGGAGAAAGATGAGGCGTTCTGCTCCCGTAAAGATTAACAGCCTCGGAAACCCTGTGCAGGGTCGCTATGAGTTAGAACCGACTCCACGGCACATAACAACAACATCTAGCGTAGTGCTTACGAATTGGGCTGCAAACCTTAAGGCCAGCAGTTCGAAACTACCAGCCGCTCCGCGGGAGAAGATGAGGTGTTCTGCTCCCGTAAAGATTTACAGCCTCGGAAACCCTGTACAGGGTCGCTATGTGTCGGAACCGACTCTACGGCGCTTAGCAACAACGTCTATAAGCAAAAATTCAGTTCGTTTAAATTGTAGCATGAAATGTTTCTTTTGAAGAATTCAATAGTTCATTTGTTCAAAGGCTATTTGTCAAGTATTTTCTTTATGACGGTTATGTAGTTTATTTTTTAAAATTAAATGAGATAGCTTCATTTGCTAATAAATAAGTACATTTTTTTCTCATGAAAATAACAATTATTGTAGCTCTGATATTAGTATTAACTGTAATTATTTAGAGTTAGCTGAGCTATGGTTGGTCTTACAGTTTAAACTTTGTAGTATAGTATTTGCTCATTTGTTGATTGTAGGCATTTCCTGTTTTGCTCAGACTTGTATTTAATCTTACATGTTTGTAGGTATGGAATTCTGTTGGAATTATTCGCTGCTATAATGACGAGCAAGATAATGCCATAGATGTGGAGTTCCATGATACCTCCATACACCACGCAACACACTTATCAAATGCTTTGAACTATACGATAGCAGATCTTTCCCAGGAAGCTGTTTTGCTGGCATGTGAGAGCACTGATGAACTAGCAAGGTAAATTCAAGATTACTAGGAAGAATCTGGCTCTGTTGAATTGTTTGATATTGTTGAATTGTTTGATGGATTTAGTTATTAAAAATTATAAACAAAAAGTTAACAAGAGAAAATATCTTCTGTGGAATGAAATTTCAGAAAATGAGCTTAGTATAGATATTAGCAGCACTCATAATATTGCAGACTGCAGATGTCTGTTTTTTTCCCCAATTGTCCCTTTGATAATATGCATCATCTAACTGCATATCAAAATAATACATGAAATGTAATGCAAGAGATTGGACTATTTTTATATTGTTTTGTTTTTTGTTCCTGTTATACAAGTAATAGGCCTTCGGTGTAAAAGAAAAATATCCCTTTGCAATTAGTCCACCCCCAGTTCTGGGTAACTAGTAGTGATGTCTTTTCTGTTACTATAGATTAGATTTGAAACCTCTTTAGGGAACAAGAAAAAGACACCC